GCTCCCACCAGCCACCGTGGTGCCATCTCTTCTTGTGGACTTTGCTCTGTAATTGCTGATTTATCAGTCCCTCCTCGGACTTCTCAATTCGTCCTGACTGACAAGCAAAACGAAGAGAGTTGTATGTGCACCCAGAGAAAGGACAGGAAGGCAGGCTAGTGAGGAAGAGGGGGAGGGCAGGCTGGTGAGGAAGGAGAGGAGGGCAGGCTGGTGAGAGAGGGAGTGAGCCCTGGCCATTTGGCTGCCACTCTTGTCTGGGCAAAGAGCCTCACCCCACAGGCTGCACCTGTTGCACCAGTCCGTGAGGGAGGGAAAACTGGCCCATAATTTTGATAGCATCATGAGTTGCTTTAATTTCTTGTTCTGTGTTTGGCTGCGGAACATGTTGTCTGATTTTATCTCTATTGCTTTGTCATGGAGATGTCTTTCTGTCATCATTTAGAATGGCAATATCTCATTTTGGTCACAGCCTTGTTTCCAAATGTCTCCTGCATTAGCTCATACTATGTGTAATTACCTTAGTTACTGCAGAAAAACTCACTTAGGCATGGTAATGAATAGACTGAAGTGATTTATTTCTATTGTTGAGAAAACCGTATGTGTTTATCTACATTATGTTGTCAAAATACACATGGTTAAAAGCCAGAAAACAGTCTGTTGGCTGAGGGCCTGCCTCACTTGGAAAGTAATGACAATGCAAGAGAATCAAATTCAGAGGCTTAATTTTCTCTTTGTCACCAGAAGCCCCAAAGTACAGAACATTACCTTTTATTTTGAAGAATATTTCAGATCCTTTGGTTCAGGAAGGAGGTCAGACTGCATCATCTGACTGAATTAGTTACCGGCTACTGTAGCTCCATCCCATCATACTTTAGAAACTCAACGTTATTTACTCAAATTTCCTAAACTTTGCTATAGTTCATCATCTTGTATGACCCCTGGAAGTATGAACTTGCAGACTCTGTGGAAAGAAAGCTTACATTCAAGCAAAGTCTTAGGTGCAGCACTGATTCTCTTTTTTTGCTGAGTGGTTCTGGGATGGAGAGCATGAACTCCCTGGAGGGATGCAGCAGTGACTACAGCAGCACTGTGCTGCCAGATGAGAGGACTGTGGTTCAGCAACTCTGGACTGGAAACTGGGGCCTGGACACCTACCTTTGTCACATTATGCTGCTGTTGGTGTGCATGTTACCACATCCATGCCTGCTTGTGCATGTTCACTTGCTCCACAACTTTTAGACTAAATTCTTCTACAGGTATGATTGCCATTCAGTGATGGGAAGCTTTTGGAATGCCCATAATTTCAGCATTAATTAAAACACAAGAGCAGCGATCTAAATGTTCAAGACAAAGTCATGAAAAGAACTACTAAAGTATTTGTTAACCCTGCTTTGCTAACAAGTTCAGATGCCCCCATGAAAAATTATGATCAAGCTTTATTTCTGTCAATCAGTTATTAAAATACCAATCCTCAGTTTTTCCAGTGCCAATTATTCTGGTATCTGCAGGCTGGGGTGCGCTGCTCATGCTGCAGAATATTCCCCATAAATAATAGGTTAAAATAAACAGCCAACCCAAGCCCAAAGGCAAAGAACTAGTTCTGGACAGCAGGCAAGATAATCAGGGAATAACTAACATGGATAATCAGCAAATCATTCAAATGAATTGATTTGGCTCTGGCTGGCGTCCCTGTTTCTGCCTGAAAGCTTCAGTGAAATCTAAATAAGTGGCAGTTATCTTACTGTCTCTTCCTGTTATCTGACTCTAATGACAGCAGAGGAGAGAGGGGAAATCATGTCTTTGAACAGGATCATGGCCTTTCATTTAAAGTAAATACTGCATCAAAATGGAAACTGCCTGAAGAGTAAGTGTGCCTTGGCTTAGTCCTGAGCAGATTAAATAATGTATTAAAACCAGACAATATCAGTTTCTTGCAATGGCTTCAGGACCTCCATGGCAAATGTGCACACTGAGGATCAGAAGGTGCTATTTATAACGACCTGAAGGTGGCTAACAGGACAGTGTGAGGTAGCTGTGAAGAGTGAAAATTCAGCCAAGGCATCTGTATTTTATGTTTCAATAAATGCCTTTAACATTAAAAAAAAAAAAAATCACAATAGGAAAATTTAAGGGGAGTGATGCTTATCCCAGATTCAGCAATGCACTTGTAGCATCCAAGTTAAATCACTTCCTCCTTAGGTTCCCATGCAGTTGATGAGGAGAAACACACAGGGCACTTAGCAATGAATCAGCCAATGAGGCTCCTGTCTGTCTCCCCCGGCACTGGAGAGATCAGGGTACCGAAGGTTCTGCCGTGGGTACCTCTGTACAAGTGCCTAAATGAAAGGCTGAATTCAGCTCATACTTTGTCTTGGGAGGAGAACTGGTGACCAAGAGGTGGCTTGACCACAAGAGAAAAATGTCCAACAAAGCTTCACCTGGACTACTGAGCCCCATCAAAATCAACCACAGCTGTTGAAGAGGTGGTGAGGATTGAACTCCATCCTCTGTCACACCAAACTCCATATGGATTTAAGACTGGGCCCCTCAGCACAGCAAACACAAGTGCAAATGCTTGCAGCTCCACAAATACAAGAGCAAACTGTGGTGGCATGGGAAGAGGAGCATGGGCTGTGCTTTGACAGCAGCTTTTGTTGGCAGGCCAGGGAGGCAGCTCTCAAAGCACAGCAGCATGAATTGCCAGCACTCCTGTGTCCTCACCCTCCTCACTTTCACCAGGAGTGGGTACTCATCTGTCAGGGGCTCTTCACACAGCAGAAATGCCACAGAGAAGAGGAATACTTGTTATACTTGGATCCTGACCGTGCAAGATTTGTACTTTCCCTTAGAGCAAGAAGCAAAGGTCCAAATTAACTTCCTTAATAATACTCTTTTTAATTCTTAAAACCCCCTAGGTGTCAAATTTTATTGTAGATCCAACATCTTTTTCAACAGAGTCTGAATAATTTCAGGACAAATATGAGAAATGACAAGACAACATAACACATTTGTATTTAAAGCTTTAATATGTTTTATTTTACTTCTATAACTTCAAAAATGTTTTGACCCTGTTTTATTGGAAAGAAAATAAACTAAAAGTGAGGCTTCAACCCAAACAGTTTTTTACAGCAGTAGGTGGTAGCAGTAGGAAAATAAAATGAAGGCTAAAAATGTTCAGGGACTATTAAATGTAATGGAAAAAACCCACCTATCACTTAACTGAATTTTTGCTGCTAAGGCAGTTTTATGTTTGCTATTCTCAGGTACTAACATTTATGATAGTAACCTTTATAAAGTCAATTTAATTATCTTTATCTTTTTACAAATAATAAATTTAGTTGTCCTACAATGAAAATCAATTGTCAACATAAGCTATGGTTAACATCTAATAAAACAGCCCTCTGTAAATCCATGATTAATAAGATTGGCTTCTGTATTAACTAACAGACATCATAAAATTTTCTTCCTTGCAATAATTTGTATATTCAAGGTTCATCCTTCTGGACTGAGTTTCCTAAAATAAACTGTTAGAGTGAGTGAATAAAATTTTGGCACCTATCATTATTATATTATAACCATTTAAATATGTATCTGTAGCTGAACGGTTTCCAAATTAATGTCATATTTTAATTAAGTCAGAGAAGATGGTGGCTATAGCAAATGATAAGTGATTCACTTCTTTGTTTCCTTTACCTTCTGAACATAATAACAGTGCTGCTTAGGTTTTAGTTTGAGCATTAGAGGAAGATAATTGAAATGTGAAAAACCAATTTCCCAAAACAATCTTTACATAAGACATGGATTACTTAAGCTCTTCTGTGTCACCAAAAACACCCTCAAAACAACAACAAAACAAACAACCAAACCCCCCAAAACCAACCAACCAACCAAAAACCACACCAAAAAAACCCCAACCACCAAAGCAAAAAAAACCCCTCAATACCCCAAAAAACACACAAATTGGAATTTACTCCCTTAGAAACATGTTCAAATTTCTACTTCCAAAGTGGGAGCACTGGTGCTCAGATTCAGCATGGTTATGTGCCATAAAACAGATATCCCTGCCCTCCCAGAGATACACACTTTGCCTAAGGACTGGCGTGATACAGCGGCCACTGCAGGCAGTGCTAAGCTTCAGCTGAATTTCAGTCTAGTTTTTAAGAGCAGAACAATAACTTCACACCTATCCTGAGAGATCCCAAAGTCATTTTACAAAGTAGGGGAAGTAGATATGCTTGAAGTACCTGTAAAAGAGCATAGTGAAGTAGGCATGAAAACGACTTCTCCCCTTGCCCAGACAAACCCTTCCAAATACCATGGAGTCTTTTGGCTGTAGAGACCTAACAGGGCCTTTGATTGTTTTGTGGGGTTTTTAGGCATCATTTTAACTCTGTGTGTACTTTGGAAAATGGAGATTCTGATCATTCATCTTACTACTTTACTATAAGTCAAGTGACTGTAGCAGAATTAGCAAGACTGGACTTGTGCAGTGGGCAATCAGTCCTTGGAGAAGCATCAGTCATTATTATTACTTGAATGGAGAAAGAGAAGTATCTTACTGTGTATTTTATGTTTTAAAAAGGCTAAAAAAGCATATATTAGTTCCTGCTAATTGTTATTTTTTGCTTTACAAAACCTCCATAATAATTAGGGGAAAAATACATCTTTTAAATTAACCTCTGGCAACAAAAAGAAAATTCTCTATCACATTAAAAAAGTAGCTTTAGTATTCTGGACATTCTCAGAATAAAATTATATATATATATATGTATATACACACACATATACATGCTGACAAGAACTGAGAAGCTCTGAAAAAATTGAGTGTATTTTTATGTGATATTTCTGTTTATTTAATTCCTTTATTTGATATTTTTTAATAAAGGAAATGCACTTACCAAGTTCAAAGTTTTGGTCATTGTGCCTTGTTCTCTGAAGTACAATGATTAGGTTATAAACAAACCACGAGTGACAAAAACATTTCAAGAATAACTACAGAATTTAAGGGAATATTTATATAGGTTTAATATTTTGGAGAAAAACAAAGCAATCCAGTTAACATCCATTATTTTACAAAATTTAACTTTGTGCCACCTGGAAACTGATGATTATCTCATAAAGCTCTAGAAAGCTGGAAAAATGGAACAATTTTCAGACCTAATATAAAAGAGGCAGCTTGTTTCTAACCCCTTCCCTGATGAGAGACTGTCAGACCAAGCATTTGCTCCTTTTTATCTGTCTGAAGAGCACTTGTGTAGCTCTCTAACCATGCCCTTCTCTTGGTAGCTAGAGCCTTTTCTCAGGAGCCAAAGGATATATTAGAAGTATAGAAATACAGCATAGAAATGTAAACATTCACTTCACTGCATTCGCTGTGCTCATACTCTTAAGGGTTTCACTGAGCACAGCAACGCTGCCTGGGTTGAGCTTGTGCTCACCCTCCAAGGACAGTCTGCTTTGCTAGGTGGTCTGCATCTCACCTATGGAACCCTGTCACTTAAAGCCTATGAATGCAAAGCATAGCATGATTTATTGTTGTTTAACTTTACAAAGTAACTGCATGGGTGGGCGTGCAGTTTATAGAGCATTGCCCTCTACCATAAAAAGTAGTTTGTAACAGAAAAAGAAAAAAAATAGTAGTCAAATGGTTGTAAACACTTGTTTAAAATGCATAAATTTTAAAATACATAGTTAGTGAATATACTTATTTTCCTATATTTAATGTTGTCAAACATTAGAAATTTATTTTTTCCCCTTAAATCTCTTTTTGAGGAAAAAGGAATGTTAACTCTATTTTTTCAGTTCTTACTGGTCTAATATTTTTTATCACTCCAAAGAGCTAAAGGCTTCCTCTTGTTTCCTCTACCCTTTTAACAGCTAATTGCAATGCTGACACCTAACAGAAAAAAGAAAAGCAGTCTAGGAACTCTGCGCCCTCTCCTCGCTCCGCTCCAGCCCCATGCAATTGTTTGATACCCAAAATAAAGGCAGTCATCAATAGCAGCCAGTCAGCTCAGTCTTCTTTTCTCTCTTCAAATAAACATTACATCCCCCAACAACTCAGATGCAGCAAGTGCTGCAGCTCCCTGATTTCCAGGAGGAAGCAGGAAGTTTCCATGCCTTGCTTTCCTCCTGGCAGCTCATTTTTCACTTGAAAGGGAAGCTGCTGACTCTTAATCATCAGTGCTTCTTGTGGTCCTCTTACTGTTGTCTGCATTTCACCCTTGACATGCATTTAAACTTATTTTTCCTTATTTAATTTCCCCACATTGCATTCACTGTATCTAAGATTGTTGTTAAATCAAGAGCTGTCTCACTTAACCACTAATCTAGAATCCAAACAGTACTCATTAGATTAATTAGAACATGGCCATACACTAAAGCCCCAGTCACTACAACGGTCCCTTCATGCTCAGCTGGCTTGAGTCATTGTGGGTGTGACCTGGCTAATTGTTCTGTGTAAATGGCTTTGTATCCTTCTTGTAAAGGATGCTTTACACAGGACAAAATCAAACCATCACCAAGTTAGTCTGGACAGTGCCATTTCCTCCCTCTGGGTTAGATCTGTGATTACAACGAGTGAACACAAGAAACAACTGTTTCTTTTTCTTACCCTTCTTTTCTCTTTGTCATACATCATACAGTACACTAAAATAAATTAGTACTGCTTTCTGCTTTCGGCAGTGTTTATGTGGTGGGGGACAGCAGGGCAGGACAAGAATTTAGTTATCAGGAGGGTCTATTGACAGTAAAGGTCTATTAGGCAGTAAAGCCTAAGACATACACTAGATCATCTTTTACACTAATGTGGCTCTCCATAAACCAAACCCCTACTGAAACTTGGGTATGGAATTCTCTCTACGGAAGCATAAATTCATTATTAGATTCTGAAATGTTTTTTTGACAGATGCTTGAAGAAAAGCCTGGCAAAACCCTTATTTTCAAGTCCTGGTTAGCAGCCAGTACCTGAGCTCAGACCAACCTTTAGTGTTAGGGCCATCTAGTGGGAGAGGAGCACAGACAGGGAAGCCAGGACATGTTCTGCATCTGAATTTTTCATCTTATTCAGCTTTGCTGTGGCCTCCGGATACCTGGGCCAAAGGAACAATGATCAGCAGATGACTGCCAGTATAGTAAATAAAGGACATGACTTTGAAGGCTACTTTAGAAAAAGAGAAAGTGAGAAGCAGCCCCTGAAATTCATACAGCTGTTAAGGAAAGCAGGCTGTGCCTGCACTGCAGGAACCAAGCAGTCAAGGTAGAGAGGTTCAAGAGGATAAAGACAGGGACCACAAAATATGGCATGATTTTGTGGATGCAAGCCCACTCAGTTACTGGCTATTCCAGTTTGTTTGTTCATACTAATCCTGTCAACTCCACAGGGAAAATGTAGTAGGGTAAAAGGCTTGTGGCAAGCCTCTCCCCACTTGGTTTAGGCTATTCAATACAGCTGTGAGATCAACCCTTGGGGATGATAGTAAATGATTTCTTGAACCATCATGGAAGATTATGCTAACACCTAGTCAGTGTTAACAGGCATGTGGTGCAAGAAAATGGATCCTAGAGGCTGAAGAACTAAGCCCATTAAGTTTTAGGTGCCAGAATTTGACAATACTCCAAACACACTGAAGAGTCTTCTAGCTTCCAGTGTTTCAAGTCTCTTACAGCTGGAGAAAGATTCAGTATATGTAGGTACCAAGATGGAAGGTACTTAAGCTGCCTCCTGCTTTACCCAAGAAACCTAAAACAAGGCTGTATTAGTGCCTCTTAGTCACTTGAAAGGGAATTAATGCTTTTTCTCCTGCTATTAGACTGCTGGAAAGCAATCAGCTTTGCCCACAGCTGTAAAAGAAAAGATAAATAATAAGAGGCAAGATAGGTGTTCAGACAGACAATTGATTAATGGTCTCCCTCATCCTACAGTTCAGAGAATCAGTGCAAGGGTCACTTCAAATTATGTTCTTCTGACTCTAGCACGACTGTGAAGTGCTGTCTGAATGGTGTCAAGGGTACAACTAATTTACATACTTGGTCAAAGACAAATAAATGCACTTATCTGAAAAAACATCAATGTTAAGCCTGCAAGCTCAATACAGAAAAGTGAACTATTTCCCAAAAAATGTTTGGACAATTATGTAAGAATAGTGCTTCAATGCAATTAAGGTTGCCTTCCAGTGTCTCTCCCTACTGCCATGATACTCTTCTACTTCTTTGGCATGTTGCGGCTTTAAGTTTTCTTCAGATTTCCAGGGGAGGAGCATGAAAAGAAATTCACTGTCATTATACAACACAGAAGCTACATTTGTAACCAAGTTTGCATGTTTTAATGTTAAGAACCCTAGATCTTAAAGAAATGCTGCCAGCTTATGATAACAGAACCTGATAGACATTGTGTCCCAACCAACAGCTCACATCTGCAAGAGGAAGAACAGTGGGGTTCAAACAAAAAGTCCAAGACCCAGCAGTAAAATTTCCCAGAATGAAGAGGCACTGAAATAATATTATTGCCTTTTGTGAAACAAGGGGAAGAACCATCCTCTTCTGACAGCACAAGACTTATGACATAGCTGATAATGTTTTAGCTAACTTAAACCTAGCACCATAAGAAAGTTAGGTAAGTATGTTTTACTCTGAGTGAGGTGCTTGTACATTTGTTTTCCATGTATTAATTTATTTGAAGTATCGTAATTAAAGAGCAACTGGAATAAAAAGCAGGTATAAAACCAGAACACTTATTTACAGCTAATTAATACATAAAAATGTAATTTATAATGCTGACAAAGCATATTTCCACATCCCTTTCTGTATTTTAGATCTACTGAGAAACAAAATTTCTTACTTGACAACGTACATATATATTTAACATAACAGCACCATAATCTACAGGCTTTTTTTCCTTAAAACTTTGCAAGCTGCAACATATAAAAATGGGACCAAGGCATGAGATTGAGCAGGGAAATCTTTTGATTCAACTTTGTATCACTATATAGAGACACTGAGAATAACCAAAAAAAAAGTTATGGCTCAGTAAGACAAATATATAAAAACAGGAATCTTCAGAGGATATATCTTAGTTCAGCAATCTTAAAGGATGCTTAGATTTCTGCAGAAATTCTTCTGTCATATCCTCCATTTTGTTCTCCACTGGAGCTGCAGATTTGTTCTCTTTACCCTTTTTGAGACTTCTTTTGTGCTGGGATTTAAAGAAAATACCCAATGTTAAGAGAATACGAAGAAATCAAAGTCTTGCTCATGTGCAATGCAGTACACAGTGTTCTGAGAAAAAAAAGTTGATGTAACTCCTGAGAAAGGTTCCTAATATATTGCATTTACTCAAGAGATTGACTGTAGACACACAAACTCAGCAGCTATTTTTAAAGGGTGCACAACAAGAAAATATGCTCTCCTCAGCAAGTAAACCCCTAGACTACTATACCAAGAAGTTTACACTGATACATTGGTAGAACAAAAGGATAAGAAGCAAGTAAGTAAAAAAACGCAACCCCATGAAGATTTAAGAATGCAAGTATTTCTGTCAGGCCTCTAAGAAAACACTCTATGTCATTTCAACTTGTCCATTAACACATCTAGCAAATTATGACAATTTTCTTTATGCAGAATTATTTGCTGAGCAGTTTTTAACTGTCTGTTCAGCTTGTCGGAAATCTGCATTATTTTATCCACCATTAACTGCTATCACAATCTGTTGTTACTTTAACTGCTGTTGCACTAAGTTAACAAAGCAGTATCTACAGGATTTGAACAAGTTGTGAGGCTACCCTAAAATACAAGTGACTTGAAACTACCTACAGCACTGTATGGAACAATGATATTTCTTCTCTCAAATACTCGAATAACTGTTTTGTTATCTGTGGAAGTTACCTGGAAAAAAGGAATGCCACCATTTGTGTGGCAATATAAATTTTTATCCATTAAGAATTTGTCACAAGCAAGGCTTTCACTGGGTTCTTGCAACTCTCCTTCCTCGTCCAACAGGTCCTAAAACACAAGTTTTTCAGAAATATGTATTTAATGTCTGAATTTCCTCAATGAATGTATTAAACATGGTAAGATTTATACGAGATATGGCACTTCAATTCTTGAAAAACAGGAATGAAATCTAAGTTACTAATATCTTTATTTTTCAAGAGATTGCTTTTATCAAAAGCTTAGGACACTTCAGTCCAAGTACACTGTAAAACACAAAGGCTACAACAGCCCTGGGGTTCCAGTCAACTCTGCACAGGGGCATGGAAAATTCTCAAAGATGTGAAAACTTCATTCAAGAGCCTAATTTGCCATTTATATACTTACCTGACCTGCATTATCCTCCACCTCATTTACCACACTGCTTAGCATAGCATCAAGATTTGTTTGATTTTGCCTTAATTGCTCCAGAAGTAGTTCCCGGGGCTCTGTTCTCACGAGAGTGACTGGATACAAGTAGTCTTTTCTCTGTGGAGTTGTCCCTTTAATGAAGATTATACACTTTTCAGTGTTTGCTTTAAATTCAGATCCTAAATTTTACATCAGCTCATCACAGAAATCATGCTTTGTTCAATCACCCTTCTTTGCATACATCTTAAAAATAAGGTGTAAGGCTGCCCAGTTTATATCATGTCCCCATTAACCTTCACTTATGAATTCTGGAACTCAAACTGTTTTCTGTAAGACCATTCTGTCCCCAACCTGCTTAAATACCTGTTGGAACATCCACTTTGAGTTCCTCTTGCAGGAAACTATTAACCTGAGTTAGTCCATTATGTACTTCCTCTTTAAGTGCCAGCTTCTGCTCCACAAGTATCTCCTGATCCACCTTCATCTGATCCAGAAGGCCATTTAGTACCTTCCCCTCAGCAGCCTTTTGTCTGCCAATGTGGTCAGCAGTTTCAGCTATTGCTTTATCACAGTCTTCTTCATTTTTCTGAAAATGAAATAAAAAAAACAACCCAACTAAAAACACCAAGCTAACAGGAAAGGTAAGACTATGGCCTCTTTTCTAAGATGTGGTGCACGATTAGTGACATGACCTGAAACGAAACAACTGAGACCTCAAATTGAGAAGTTTCAGTGCCAGTTTTACACTCTCATTTTGAGAGCTATCTTCAGAAGAGAGTCAGTTTCTTAGAAAGTATGATCATTTTAGAAAGCTAGTCTCAAGAATAAAGATGATGCCATCTGGCTCAGACCAGACTCCTCATGCTTCTATGCACAAACCCTGCACAGAATTAGGATATTCAACTGAACATGAACATCCTACAAGAACTAGAAACTGTATGCATTTGCAGAGGAAAAAGAAAATGTGTTTTCAGCCATTCCCACTGAAATTGAACTTGTGAAGTGTTCAGCAGGTACAACAGATGTGTTGAGACCACAAATGGTTTTAGTTTATAGTTGGACTTGATCCTTGGAGATCCCTTCCAATTCAGAATATTCTGTGTGAAGGAAATTTCTAGCTGAGTTTTTCCTTCTGTTCACAAAATATTGGATTTGCCTATTTTATTGCCTATTACAACAACAACAACAAAAAGGTTGGGATGTGAAACTTGTGATGGAAATTAAATCAAAAACGTAAGAGAGAAACTCTTAGATAAGAGGCCAAGTATATACTTGTATATACTTAAAAGGATGCTTTCTACCATATTGATTCAATCTGACTAAGAAAGTCATTTGCATTCTCCAGGAAACAGCCTACATTTGATCACTGTGCCCCTCCCAAGGACAGTACTGTAGATAAAGCTTTAGAATTAAACACTACTAAGATGATATAAATGCTCAGATTACAAGTTAGCTGTATAGCATTAGTCATGACACCATTTTTTGAGGTTAGGGGCACTTGAAGTTCAAAGTCATCCTCTTAATTTAGTCTTTTGCTTTCCTCTAGTTACATCTTCTTCTTAAGCTCAGTAACATGAGTCTGCTATCAAAAAAAACATAGTTTTGTTTTGACTATAACAGAGAATTTTTTTCTCCGCTCTACAAATTCTGCTGTGCAGTTTGTCTCAGGATGTTGCATTAGACTACAAATGACTATAGGTACCTTTTGTAAATACTGAAATTGCTGTTTCTCATCCTTGAATGACAATAGCTGCTGATTAGTAAAGTTGACCATCTGAGCAGTTGTAAATTCACCCCATGTACTGGTATCCTGAGACACATTTTTGAGATTGCTGAGAAGATGTTGACAGTGGTTATTGGATTCTTCTAGCATTGTCTTGTTTTCAGCATTTATATTCCTGAGCTCTTGAGAGAAATTATCCAGAGATGCAGTAAATTTGCTGTGACTGGAATTTGTACTGCTGACTAGGTCTGTAGTTTTCCTGCAACAACATATTTGTAAGAGTTCAGAGATTTTGAAAGGTAGATTTTAACACAGTACACTTTTAGAAACATGAGACCAGAGCCAGTGAAATAGCATAGTTCTATCAAGCCAGTTAATTATTATATTGTTGTTCTACATAGCAAATTCACAGCACTTTGCAGCAGCAGGTTTGCTAAAAAAAAACCCCAAAACCTCCACCAACCAAAAAACCTGAAAAGAGAACCAAAAGACCCTAACCACAAACTAAAAACTTCAGCAAGACCTTGGTTATTCAGTCTGCAATTGAATTAAACATACTGCAATAGATACATTATTATGCTTCAAGGTAAACCTTTATAATATGGAGTTCTGAAGTACAGATACTGAGGGACACTCCTCGGCATATTACACCCAAAATGATACTTTGTTATCACACACAACTTGCTCAGGAAACAAGTTCAAGGCCAAGCTTTTTTGAACTACTGTTTACTCTGGGGAAAGGCCAACTATGATCTACACTCAGTGGCAGAGCACAGCTCTGATACACAGGTCATGCCCAGCAGGCTTTGTAAGAACATAAATATAAAGAGCATCCAATTTTGAAGTTCTCGTCATACATAGTTTATCTTACATAAATGTACAGCAAAAAAACCTGCTCCTTACAGGTGAACATTTTCTTGCATAGCAGTGATGGTGGTCTTCAGGCTTCCATTTTTTGTGAGTACATCAGTTAAGTTCTTCTGAGTCTCCTGAGCAAACAGGTCGAGCTGGCTTTGCAGTACAGATATCAATTTGGCTGCGCTCTATCAAGAAAAATATCACAAGTTTCACTGTTATTCTGCACTTTTTAACACTCTTAAAGGGTAGCTGAATGCCTGGATTAGAAATGCAGAGTTTTGCATTTCTAAAGCAGAAGGTACAATTTTTGTGTAGTGAAGACACAGACACTTTGCTTTTGGAGACATGTGTAAATGCACTATATTGAATATACTCACAGCAAGGGGAAGGGGATTTTGCTACATTCCTATATAAATTACTTAAAGCAGCCTAACAAAAGTTCAATAGAATTAGGATCAAGTTACTGTCCTCCTAACATTTTTTTCTGAGATAAGTATAATGGTTTACTACCACATAATAATTTAAATCAAAGCAAGTAATCACACTTGGTTTTAGGGTGTTTTCTTACTCTAAGGATACCTTTCTATGTGCCGACCTCGTCATTTCCACTTCTTCTTTTAAACTGTCACAATTATGCTGGAGCTGAGCAAAACCACCAGCTGTTTCTTCTTGTATTTTTTGCAGAGTGAGAAAAAGATCTCCAAAGAAGGTATCCATTTCCCTTTTATGGCCCTCCATCTTAAAGAAAAAAAGTTTTACTTACAGTTAGATTTTTAGATCTTTATTTAAGAAACTGATATTTTTCCCTAGCATAACTGACACAGAAACAAAGTCTACCCCAAGAATATTGTCAAAAGGCATTAATGAAGTACTGTGCATAAAAGGCAGAAAGTCACACTTGGAACAATCTGAAGTTTGAGACTGGAACTTAGTGTGGGGGCTATTCCAAACACAAAATTTGACATGCAAGGTAAATAGAAAAGCAGACAAGGAACAGCAAGAGCTCATAAGCCATGGACTATCTGCTGTCTAAGCCTGAAAACCAATATAAACCTTCCAGACAAGGGAGTTGGTTCCTCATGAAATGTAGTTGACATGAGGGGAAAATGTTTCAGTAAAAGAAACAAGTGACCAGAAACAAAGACTTGTTTTTGACAAAATGGAAAAAAGGAAAAAAAAAAAAAAAGAAATTAAAGATGCTGCAGTTCTACAGAAGTATCATGAGACAGAACTATAACTTGAAGCAAAGGTCTTCAGTAAGTGCAGTATTGCTTGCACTTATGGTTGTTAACAAGATAAAGCATCACATTTCCCCAGGAATCAAAAGGGCTATAGAAAATGTTTCATAGGAAAGCATAAAAATTTTGGAGTGGTAAGACTTGCCTAAGCTAACTTTTTTTTCAGATTTCTAAAATACAGGGGAAGAATATATTAAAAATATCAAATATTTGTTGCTAATAAAGATTTAAGCATCCGTGTTTTACAATTCTACTGTGGCACTCAGGCAAGCAGCTATGCCAATATAGAGAACAAGCAAATTTATCACACTCAGGAGAGGAAAAAAGTCTGAAAGTTAAAAGATAGAACTCATGGGACAAGATAAAGGATAAAAGGCTAGACAAAAAGTGGAAACACTCTGACATACTACAGAAAAACAAAGAACATATTACCTGTAAATTAAATAAAATAGCAAAGCACAAGCCAAAGAGGCAGGCTACGTGTATTACCTGGTCAGCCACAGCAGAATATTTCTCCAAGTTACTCTGGAACTGACAGTTTAACCCCAAGACAAATTCTACCACTGGTGTCAAGCTATTTACTGCTCTTCCTAATCCAGTTTCATGTTCCTCCTAGGAAGAAAAAAAAAAGAAAAAATTAAACCAGAACATGGCTATTCCTTCATCTACATTTGTAAAAAGCTACTATGTACATATCCACGTACTCTATTATGACAGTATATGATATATAGTACATTACAGCTTGTGCTGTGGTGACAAGGGAGGGGAAGTGGGGAGGGACAATCATGGTCAGGTGGTGAAGCAGATACAGGTAAAGAGCATTAGAAAACATTCTATACATATACATAACCCCTTTTGACCAAAACCATTTTCTAATATTTAAGATGCAAATGTACTAACAATTAATCTCAGCAGCTCTGCTTTACAATCAAGTGATAGATTCTCCTGCTGTGTTATTTTTTCAGACATGTGAGAAACTTCAGCAGACACCAATTCTTTAAGAGAGGCAAAAGATGCTGATACAACTGATGCAAGAATATCTGCTGTAGAAGAACTGGTAGACAGGAGGTCACCTACAAAAGAAAACCAGATTTAAAAATTTTTTTAAAGTTCTGCTGTAAGACAGGAACTTTTTATTACTCATCACCTTATTGCCCATTTCAGGAAGGCTGTGGATCATCCCAGACACATTATTACTGGTGCAACTGTTATAATTATGTCACTTAAATAAAACCACTTATTTCCTAAAACAGATACATTTTAGGAAGTGGTCTTTGAGATTAAGATTACTACAGGATAACTACTAATACAGGTATTACACTTACCTATAAAATTTGTGTAAGATGTCAGCATCTGTTGCTGCTTCAAACTGTTTTCAGTAATTGAATCTTGTATTTTGCTGAACAAAGCATTCATTTGTCCTGCAAATGTATTTTGGACAACAGCATTGTGCTGATCAACAGCCTTCTTACGGTCCAGTTTTGCATGGAGCCCAGATACATCTCTTGTAGTTTCTTCAACTGTACTTAGTAACTACAATTTTTAAAGTTATTTTAGTAAGTCTTTAAACAACAAGTCAAACACATATTATATAAGGAAAAGCAACAACAGCTCTGAGTTAAAGAAGTTATCTCTCTTGGAAGACAGATATTTCCCTTTATATCATCAAATTACAACAGTTCTAGACCATGGTGTTATGTCATTTATGCTTTTAGAACATGAGAAAAAGTTACCTTCCAGAGACCATTTGTTCTGGCTTTAAAATCAAAGCATTAATAAATTACTGCCTCAGTATAATAAGGAATAAAGGTATCATTTATTCCAGAGTATTAACTGAAAAATACCTGAGCACTTCTACTGTTTTCTGAACAATGTGACAGTATATTCTTTAATATAGTACTTCAATATATTCTTTAATATAGTACTCAAGCAAGAGGTTTCTAGTACTAATCCTGCAATAAATAATTTAGAATTCATACAAACAGTGGAGTCCTGGTTTGTAGTGAGCATAAGTAATTTCTGTACCCATTTGTCTCAAATACTCCATAACCCACACATAAAAAACAGTCATCCCCTCCTAATCATACAGGAATCCAAACAAAGAAATTGCCATAGTGCCTGAAGAAACAACTTTCATCATTTTGCAGTTTAAATAGCAGGACACTCTCTCTTCTCTACTTCAAATCTGTGTTGATAATTATGACTAATCTACAAACACATCAAAAACATATCCTAAAACACAGAGGTGACAGGGCAACATCATTCAAAGCTTTTTGCTATTTTTCTAGCCCAGTTCATAGAATGGTTTGGGTTGGAAGGAACATTAAAGAGCATTTATTTCCAAGTCTCCTACCATGGGCAGGGACATGTTGCACTAGACCAGGTCCTTCAGGTATGTAGAGTTTACTGTTTTGCAGGACCAGTCATAAGATTTTGAAAGAAAACTACTTATTCTGCAAAAAACCTCATGATAATAGATACTGCAAAGCACTGGAACTTCCATGACAAACTGGCCTGAGGGAAAGTTAGGTCCAGAGCAACCAAAGTGTTTAGCAGTCAACTGTCAATACTGCCACAAAGTCTTGCAATCTAATCCTAGTTTCCCATCTTAAATCCAGGTCTTGTCTCACTCACATCATGCTTTAGCAACAATTGTTTTCCTTGAATAGCCCAAGAAACTCCCAAACATAGGAAGCTGTTTTACAATAAGTACAACTGTGACAACCTTGCTAGCTGTGCCATGAAGTTTTTGTTCAGTATTTTCCAAAACTGAAACCACATATTCCTCTTCAGCCAGCTGAACCTTGGTTTCTTGCAGGTCTTTTTGCGTTTCTTCCAGTTCTTTCTCCTTGATTTGCAAATCTGTTTTACACTGTTCAAGTTCATTTTTACTGACTCTGAATAGTTCAGTGACCTAAATAGGAAGACAATCATCAAATAAGGCAACATCACGTTTTATAAATTTGACAGTCTAATTTCACATCTCTCAAATTACATGACAATGACAGAAGGCAAAATGTCATCTAGCAATGTAATTTTAGCTTTAGGATTCAGGTCTTAAACCTAAACTATAGGTTTCTATAGTCTTTATAATCACTGAAAATATCAAGCCAATACCATTCTCACTGTAATAACCACTTCCCCTCTCGAAAAGCAAGAGCCAACAACTGCTACAGCACAAGGAAAAGAATCCCACTAAACAAACATGACCAGATATCCTGAAAAGAGTCAGTAAAGCTGATTACATAGAGGAGGTACATATACCAGCAAATTAATTTCTACATTTCTCTTAAACAAGCAGCTCAAATTTTCATGTAATTTGCTTAAAGGAAGCTCATGACCTCTCTCCCCTCATTCTTTGCTCCTAAGCAGATACCTGTCAACTGAGATGATACCATTTTACAAACAGACTTTTTGTTGAAAATTCAGCAAATTATAGTACTAGACATAAAAGCAGTTTTAAAAAATAAGTATTGCAAGCTGCGATTTCATATACATTATTTCAAAATCCTAACTTCAAGGACCAGGAAGTTTCCACTCTTGACTAATTGGGGAACTTTAATATCAACGACAACAAGAAGAATATTCTGACTGTTCTTTCCTCAAACATTTTTCCTTACTTTGAAAGGAGAATTTCTTAGATTTTTTGGCAGATTTAAGTCACAGTTGAAAAACATCACTCACCCTTTTAACTTCTTCCTCCATGACACTGATTTTGTCAATATACTCTGTAATTTGTTCTTCCTGGACCGTCAGCTTTCCACTAAGGGCTCTCAAGCAAGAATTAAAATAAACAAATTAGCCAAGTAAGAGGCAGCTTTAAGATTTTACACTACATTTTCAGTAATTTCAAAAAATAAATATTGCTAAATTCTATATGAATAGCAGGTAGTTTTCACTTAAGGCAGAAAAGATTTAAGACAATTTTCCATTGTAAGCTTTCTGTGCAAACTAGCCCTCTAAGAAGTGAATATATCAATATCAAGTTTACTTTTCTGTATTAACTTCTACTGAAAAAAAAAAAAATTGCAAGTGTAAATCTGCATGCTGAGTAATGCTTATGGTAAGTTTTACACATAGACAAATTCCTCAGTGCAAGCCTATTGGATTTCATCTGTATAATAATTAATTTTGAAAGAACAAGCTGACCAAACAGTTAAGTTTTCCTAGCTATCTTCAACTTTCTGGACTAAAAATAGATCTGCAAGTACATACTTATCTGTATAAGGATAGGTACCAGTATCTGAGATTTGTTGCTAGTTATTTTATAGAAATTTTGCAGACATACTCATAGTTTTCAACAGAAATATAGATTCCATTTTTCTCTCGAGCAGCAGCAAGGTCTCGCTTCAGACGCTCAATCTCTTCAGTATATTCCTGCATAAAGAAACAATCACATGTAAACCTGAAAATTCCTATTTTGGTTTTGATATTCAGCTTAACAGGTACTTCACAAAGGTAGTGCTCTACAGAAGTTTTGCATAAGCACAAGAGCAAAGAACTTAAACTCTGCTCTAAATTCAGTATAACACCATTTAAATTCATATCATTGGATATATATTGGCTATATATAGAGCACTGAAACCTTCCATTTGAAGGTCATACTTGATTGCATTTAGCAACTTACAATGGGAATCACAGCTTCCTTAGGGGCAGGGCTACTTTACACTTGCTCGTCACTTGTACTTACTGACAAGTTCCCTTTAATTCAGGCACTTTCTAGGGAAAGTGCAAAATTGCAAACATGTAACACCCACAGTCACAGCTAGTAGCAATAACTCTCGGTTCAACTTTAGTCTTATCAGCAGTTCCAATATCTGCAGGGACCATTGCTATATCAGTGCAGCTCTAGTTTAAAAGCATCAGTTCAGTAATTAGAATCACTTCAGAAAAGCTTCTCCCATACTCCTGCAAACAGCAAAGACTACATTAACAAAAAGTCATGCCTAATCTGTAACTTCGTTTTTTAAGATACATGTCTAGTTACCTTAATGAGAGCTTTTTTTGTTAGCTTCTGATTAACTTCAGGCTTGTTCATTATATTCTTTGCTCTATGGGCATATTCCAGTGTACTCAATGTTTCCTGTGAAAAACAGATGTAAGACTAGGTCAAACTGAGGAATTAACTCATTTTTGTATCATTAGTAAAATATACTATTTATTTTAGGAATAGGTTTTCAGATTTTAATTTACCTCAAGATTTACAGATGCAGGCGAAATTGTGGCAATTATTGATGTTTTTGTCCGTCCCCCAAGAGAGTCTTGAAGGATTCTTGTGAGTTTAGACTCCCTGTATGGAATATGAGGGGCTCTTTCCACTAGAGCAGTAATCACTCTTCCTAGTGTCAGCAGAGACTGGTTGATATTTCCAGCTTCACGAGCTCTTTTGTCAACAGCCCCAGATCGACCAATGTTTTCACTTCCAGCAAGATCAACCTGAAAAGGCAGGGTATGCTTCTGTCTCAATCACCCTGAAGAATGCTTGCCCCAAAGTCTTGCAGAACACATAAAAGAGCTTACCAGTTTTTCAGGAGACACTGGGGTGACAAATGGGACTGGTATTTTTCATAGCAACAAATAAACGTCCTATCACTTTATGAAAACAATAATTTTCCCCTTATCAGGAAAAAACTCTAATCAACTCCTGTATATGGATAAAAAAATCTATCAATGACACTTATTTCAAATACTTACCAAGTTTAGCTTTCCAATTTTAACAAGTTCTTCTCCATCTAGCGTTGTTTCTTTCATATGGATGGTAATTGAAAACACAGAGTGGGAACGGCTGCAAAGAAATCAGTTTCAGATGTTCCATTAAAGCCAAATATCTAGTTGTTATATGACTGCTACAAGTTCTGTGCTCCTTATAGAGAATACATTTAGCCCATGAACTACAAATTACATTTTCAAGACACGAAGTTATTCTGCTATTTTGTGTGTGTACATATGAATATGGTATTTAAAACCAGTGATGAAGTAATTGGTTGACATTTGACTCATTCAATCCTATAAATTTTATCTTATTTCAAGGAGAAGCAAGAGAAATGCCTTGGTTTTGCTTACATTTGTGTATTCCCAATTCACAAGTGTCTCATGGAAACTGAATCGCAGGATTTTTTTCAGTCCTTATGCTAAGAACAGTTTCACAAAATGTGAGTAAGGAACATAACTTTCTTTATGCAGGCTAAGAAAATTCAGCAACTAGTTCAATCCAACAAAAATTTAGAAGTGAAATTAATTTTTCCATCAAAAATAGTAATAGCTTAAGATCACTGAATCATGGAATGGTTTCACCTAGCTCCAACCCTCCTACCATGGGCAAGGACACCTTCCACTATACCAGGCTGCTCAAAGCCCCATCCAACATGACCTTGGACACTTCTAGGGATGGAGCATTACAATTTCTCTGGGCAACATGTTCCAGTGTTTCCCCACTCTCATAGTGAAGATGATTTTAGGTTGAGTTTATTCCTTTAATAAATTTTTACTGCAGGAAGCTGACACATAGAAAGCCATAGATGTCAAAATACACCAGTTTGACCATACATAAAAACACATCAGGCACAATAAATTCTCAAAATTCTCTGGAATCTCAGACAAAATGAGTTCTGTGTTCCAATCAGTGGTAGGAAATACCCATTTCCTTCCACCAGTAGATAGACATGGTCAGTATATCTTGAAATTAAAATACAACACAAAACAGGCAGAGTACATACCATACTATTGCAACTACTTGTCCAGATATCACATCTACAGCTCAAGAATGTGAAGGCAGCAATAAAAAGAATGCTATTTCTGACCCAGGTGCCCCTATATTACATTCTATGACCTGCACCCATATGAAGCAGCCCTTACTGCCATACAATCTTATTCCCAACCTAGTTTGCAAATTTTACAGAAACCAGATTTTGAAATGAGGGTCTTGTGTTGGATCTGTAAAGAGCAGATCTTAGCAGTATTTTGAAATACCAAACTTCAGTAGCAAATCCTAAGGTATAATTTCCTACTGCTGGTACAGGGAGGAAAGGATATTCAAGACTCTTACACCAAGTTTATTTAGTAAATGGGACTGGCCAAAACATCCAACCACCTAGAACAGCTAGAATAAAGACAACCCACCCCTCTGATACAGGTATATCAACTAAACATCTTCCAAAATTGAAAGGAACCTTCTTTTTGAAAATGTACAGCATCCACTGCAAGGAGTATTTATCTCATACTAGTAAATTGCAATGTATTTCACTTATGTATTTGTCAGATTTAGCCCTTCTGTTTTCATAGGCATAGAAAGCTTTGAAAAATTTAACTTCATAACTTTGAATTATACTTAAACTTCAATATTCTAAAAGTTTAATTAAGAACATTATGATGCTTTTCTCTCAGCTAGAGTTAGGTGGAATCCCAGGGCTACTGTTCCAAACAGACACTACATATTTACAAAGAATATAATAATTACAAAGCAGGCAAACTCTAAACAAGAGGAGAAGCTTGTATTAAAAACAATGCAGGGAGAAATAGCTTGTCCTTTTTTGACTTGAGAAGCATTCAGATTTTATGATGCTTTGTATGGTTTTTTTTGTGTGGAGTTAGTTTTCTTCACAGTGGCTGTTATGGGGCTGTGTTTTGGATTTGTGCCATACAGAGGGCTGCTGATACAGAGACATTGTTGTCAGGGCTTTGGATGCTGTAACACTGGCAAGGAGGTTCAGAATGCACAGGGAGTTGGAAGGAGACACAGCCAGGACAGGTGACCCCAAACTACCAAAGGGATATTCCAGACCATATAGCATCAGGCTCAGTATATAAAGTCGGGGGGAAGAGGGAAGAAAAACGGAGGGGACATTTGGAGTGATGGCATTTGTCTTCCCAAATCACTGTTACACATGATGGGGCCCTGCCCTCATGGAGATGTATTAACCATAGGAAGCAGTGAATTAATTTCTTGCTTTGCTGGTGTGCACAGCCTTTGCTATCCCTATTAAACTGTCTTTATCTCAACCCATGAGTTTTCCAGCTTTTTCATTTCCAATTCTCTCCCTAAATCCTGCAGATGGGGGAGTGAATGAGTGGCCAGATAGGCTTGGCTGCTGGCTGGGGTTAAACCATGTTATCCCTTCATACACCTATTGCAATCATCCCACAGCACATGATAAGAAAGAAATTGTAACTAGAGCTTTCTAACCCATGTTTGAGAGTCTGCACTGTGACAGACAATCTCAAGACGATGTCATGTTTGCTCTAGCTTCTTTCTTCTTCAGTAAGAGTCTGTTTAAGAAAGAACAAAACAAGGTTTCTGAAATGGGGAAGATTTGTACCTGGAATATGCGTTCATGTAAGTAGCTGCAGTTGTTCTTTTGGCTGCACCCCTTTCCAGGATTTGGTAAACTTGATTTTTGTTGTGTACAGTTACTTCTTCCAAGCCTTTAATAATTACACCCCTCTGTCAGAAAGTAATACATGCTTATTATACGTCTCTCAACAATCCTGAAAACCTCAAAATAACAAATTTTGTAGAACTAACCTTGTTTCGAGGATCATCAAACATCTGTAGTCTTTCCCCAACATCAGGAGTAGGATTCAGAAGATCAAAAAGCTCCTCATTATAGATTTCCAAAAGAGAGACTTTCACGGAAAATTCGGTACCATTCTCTGTGAGTTTTTCAAATATTTGATGCAATGTACGGGGTATGATACCTGCTAGTGGATCCTATAAATTAAAAAGAAGTATTTAATTTATAAATATACTGAAAGAGATTTGGAGGTAGGGGTAGAGTTTCAACTAGTCTGACTGGATATAAACAAGAATATAAAACTCAACAAGAGTTGAATGCAATACATTAAAGATGTAAAGTAGTCCTTTTCATATAAATGAGTAAGACAGTTAATCTACAAATTTCTAAGGAAAGTCAGCTTCAGAATTTGAAAGACATCAACTTTTGGTTTTCTTTAGGCTTCTTCAGTTTCCAGCTTTGAACTACACTACAGACAAGAACAATCTCAGGAATGAAAACATACCTCTTCCCAAGTATATTCTTTATTGGGTGACCGCTCCCCTTCCATTGTGAAGGTCTTACCAGTACCAGTTTGGCCGTAACTGTGAGAATAAAAATAAAAACGTAAACAAGAAACTAAAATACAAATAAAATTTCCTAATAGCAATTATTGGCTTACTTACGCAAACACTGTACAGTTATAGCCCATAATAACTTCATCCAAAATGGGACACACAACACTCCGGTACACATCAATCTGCTTTGCCTGAGCTCCAAAAACCTATTGACACAAAGACAACACATCCCATTTATCTATACAATAATGTATAATGTCACACTAAATATTAGCTTGTTTCCAGAAGCCCCCAACTTGACAAGCAGTTACCAACCATATCAAATGTGTAAGTCTTCCTTGATGACTTATCTGTCACTCCTCCAGTGCGGACACTGACTTCCTTTCTTGCTTGATCACAGTCTATGACAGCGTAGGAGCTCGCTTTAAGTTCTGAGGCATTAAAAGGCCTAAAAGGACAGAAGTCAGGAATATTGGATTGAAATCATTGCTAACAAGAACAGAAAAGAGATGAAGCAGTAATATCATTCCGGTTAAGGACTTAGAATAGTATAACTGGGCAAAAAGAACGAAGTTTTTAACTTTATCTGTTTAATAATTGTTTAAGAAAAAAATACCGCAATTTGGCCCTGTTTTAACTTTCACCCACTGTGAGACAACTCAGGCATCCATAGCTTTCTGTTTGTTACATACATACTTTTAACAAGCCTTTAACCACTTTCAAGACCATATAGATGCACACATAGGTAACATTAGAACATATTCAGTTACAGGGGGTAGAATATGAAACATATTAAACAATTGTCCAAATAACAGGCTTCAAAAAAAACCCACCTAGAAACGCAAGTTAATGCAACAGTGAATCAAATGCGGATGACAACACTCTAAAGCACTAAAAACACCAACAGACCCCATTAATTGCAGCATAGTAAGCAGCAATACCAGAACCTTTATAATACTGATGTACCTGAGTAATATTTAATAAGACAGACCAAACATGAGATTGGGGGGCAGGGGGGGAGAAGTCCACATTAATTTAAAGTCAATCATAGTAAAAACATTTAATAGAGGGACAACAACATTTTTGAACTTGATGGTGAGCATCTTGTTTCACCAGTAAGTTAATTCAAACTTGGTGCACACCACTTTCCTTAAAGGCATATTTGCCACTATTTCTCCTGAAATGCATGGAAATTCCCTAAAAAGCATGAAATCCTACTTTATTCTTCATTAACTAGTGCTACTGCACTGAATGTCTATGCTACCCATATAGTTTACCTGTGCAGTCAGCTTGAAAATATACCTTCTACAATCTATATTTCATACTTACTCTTGAAAGTATCTTGACACTAGAGACACTTCAGATGCTCCTTGAATTATAATGTTAAAGAAAAAAAACCCACAAAATACAAGAAAACCACAAGCACATAGCACCTCGAGTTTCCTGAACCTTGTGGCTAACATTTCTCCCTCAATACATCACCAAGGCTGAACTGTCAGATTCTAAACAGGCCATGGGACACCTGGGTGCAAGATCGACTGATGACAACAGAAGATCACTAAAACCTTGTTCACAGCAGCAAGTTACAGCTTCAGTTTAATGACTGTTAAAGTAACAGAACAGTGAACATATTCTGCTGTGTAACCATGTAATACTGAACCAGTCCATGGCAGGAGGTGCAAGACCCCACAGCTGTCATATTAGGAGAACCATTTAGCTGGGCTGGAACAGGAGTACAAATCATCACCATCACCACTACACAAACAGCTGCCTGGTGTGCCACGGAGATATTTGATCTTGGGTTCAGCCCCTTAGGTATGAAGGACATAATTAACAATGCTAATGCATGCATTTTGAGTTTCCAAATTTCTGTTTTACCAAAGCTCAGTAAATGTGTTGCTTGAAAAGATTTTTTTTTTTAATATGCTCAGACCGATCAGGTTTTAGGAACAAATTAGGACACCAAAGAACAAAGTTACATCTACCTTCCTACCTATAAGGAGAATCAGACTTGATGTAGAAGAAAAAAGAAACGTAGAAGAAACACTAATTCAAATAAACTGAAGCTATTAAAAAAAAACCAAACAAGCTTTACAAAGGGCAAGAGTGGGCAAGGAAGTTTTAAGAGGTTAGAAACTAACTCTTGACATAGCAATTTGTCTATGAACTATAGCAAAAGCAGAACATTCCACCGTGGACAGTCCTAATGTTAAAAGTAGCATAGTGATCATTATATTTAGTTAAAATAAATACTTGATAAAGCTATTCCAGAATAATTGACACACATAAAAAGAAAATAGCTGCTCTGCTCTTGACAGTATTTCAAATCCAGTTGCTTAAATCAACTTATTCTTTTGAAATAGCCTTGACTCATCAACACTTTCACCAATCCCACATTTGTTTCAGAAGCTTTGTAGTTGCATTGCAAAGATAAGGCTAAATTGATTTTAATTTCTATATTTATTGTGCCTCTGTAAAAGCAGAACTCGTAAGCTTGAGAACATGACTGCAAAAGACATTAAAACATAATATGTAAACTAATGTTCGCAGATCTAGCTCAAAAAAAAAACAAGGTTCTAAAGGTGTTTCAAACATCATGCATAATATATTACCAGTATTACAGTTTTAACATACGGTGCCTTAACATTATTATCTAGTGGCAGTAAGCAACTTTTTAAAGCCACTTCAGAATTACAAAGAGAACCTAATTTTATGGTACATTAAATATACCACTTCATAGCAAAAAGTAAATTCATCTCATCAACCAAGACATTTGGTCATTTTTACTTCAGCAGCAGACTCCCATCCCATTGCCTGTCCCCTTGAAAGTCTGCACCAATGAAGTTATGTGGCACAGCGAGCGTAGCAACAATCTATCTGTTAAAGCTTAACGACCTCCCACAGGAGCTGACAAAGTACACAATTCAGCCTGAGTTTTTGTGCGTCTTGAATGTCATATTAATTCCACGTAGCTCTCCTTGAGCTTCCTACGCAGCTTCATACTGGGAGTGCGCCGAATCAAGTTCGGAAACTGCAGCTTTTTGCCTTCTAGAGCTGTAAGAAATCGCTCAAAACACTTCTGCGGAAGCGCCGCTTCCCCGCGGGACACACGGGCCTGCCTCAACCGCAGACCGGTGCCCGGGACAGGCAGCTCCCAGCGCGGTGCCGAGGGGCACGGGCGGCTCCCTCGCAGCGACCGCTGCGGGCAGACACAGCGATCCGCTGGAGCACGTATCCGCAGCCGGACACCGCGGCCCGGCAGAGCCACGGCTGCCCAGCGCCTGTCACACGGCCCCGCGGGCTGTGCAAGGTGCTGTGCGGACACCGTCTGGGCCCGGGTCCCGGAGGCATCAACGCGGGACCTCCCTGGGGCTTGCCCGCGGACCGGCCCCTAACGCTCGCCCAGAGAAGGCCCGCCACACGTACCTGCATCGCACCACCACTTGGATGTTCTTGCCCTTCTCTTCCTTCTTGGTGCTGCCGCCCTGGGAGCCGAAGGAAGCCATGGCGGGACCGTGACGGGACCGAAGCGCTGCCACAGAAGCTCGGCTCGGGTCGGCCGCGCGCGCCGCCGCCAGCGCCGCTTTGAANCCGCCCGGCCCGGCCAATCAGCGGCGGCCCCGGGGCACCACGGGACGGGATTTCAAATCCTGGCGGCGGCGGCGCTGGGAGCTACGGTGCTGCTCCGCCCCAGCACCGTGAGGTAGGAGGGTTAGACCAGGCCGGCCTTCCCAAGCGCCTGGGCTGCTGATCCCGCTAAACCGTGACGCGGTACCCGATGTCCCCCCGTACCTGCCGTACCGCTCGTCTGTGCCGCCAGTACCGTGAGAGGCCAGCAGGACAATGTCTGGCCTCCTCTGTGGCTGCCGCTGAGTCTGAGGGCAGCCAAACTACCCGCCATCGGTCTGCTACAGTCAAATCATCCATATAACCCTTTCTCACAGGTCAAGCCCTCCAGCCATCCGTTCTTCTCGTAGCTCTCCAGCTGGCCCACCACTTCCTTAAACATCACGACAAATAAGCACAGCTCGCCAATGCTTCGTGGAACTGAAACGTTCCTTCGCTTGTTTGAAACAATGATCAGGTTTCTATTTACACAGCAAGGCACAGCGCTCACCGTTCCCAGCAGGGCACCTGCTGTCCCCTCGGCCGGGGGTGCCCCAGCACAGGGCACTCCCTACCGACCCTGTGCGCTCCTGGCCATGCATGCAGAGCTCTGCTCTGGTCCCTCTGCGCCTTCTGCAGGCTTCAGCTCAGGCAGGTCTCCAGCACAACTCGTCTATGTCAGTCTGAACTCCACATCTAACTTTCCACTTTACAGGTTTACAAGTTGGTATTGCCTTATCGAGTAGTGGGGAAGTCCTATGTAAGAATGGAAATAAGTAGTTACAGGCTAAGCACAAAGCATCACGTGTTGCACCACATCCATCCTTTTACTTTGAAAATGTGAACCACTTTGCCATTTATGTCACCCTGGCTTCCCTGTGAGAGCTTCCTTTGAGGCACTATTAAATGCTTTGCTAGGTGGAGATCTAGGACAGGTTAACTGGTCTTCTGGGCAGTAGCAGATACTAGAGGAGATTCAATTTGTCTGATATGCTTTTTTTATTAAATTTGTACTGGCTCCTACAGACTGTCATCTACCTGTTATGGCCTACAGTGCTACTGTTTTGCTCTTGTTCTAGGGCCTCCTCAATTTCTGAAATTTTGATCACCCATCTATAATTTTGCAGATGTCCACACCCTTTTTTTCCCCTAAAGTTAGCTGCTTTGAATCTTATACTTCTCTCCCCTGTGAGTGCTTAAAGTTAATAACAAATGGATCCTAACCCATAAGGCTTGCAGTAATTTTCCTGACAGTGACATGAAGCAACATCCCATTATGCTCCCCCACCATTTATCTGAAGAGTTAGAGCAATGTCAGAGCTAATCAATCTTAGATTAGGCATGATGAACAAACAATAAACACTAAAAATCACAATAACACATTTTGTTTCAGCTTACTAAAGGTTTAACCAAGCAGGAAAATAAATATAATGCATGCCAAACATTGAGACCACGTTTACTATTTGCTTTTTTGTATTCCACCTATGCTAACAACATAAATGACTTGTACTGACAATTGCGTGGTAGCTACTGCTAGACTGAAAAGTCAAATGCAGGAATGCAAATAATCTAAATATTTACCTTTTTCTCTGTACTCCTTCATATGGATCACACAAAAGAAGACAGCACCGGAACACAAGAATTCTTCCAACTTCTGCTTGTTTGTTCTTTTCTATCAAAGTCATATTTTTCCTCAAAATATTAACATCTGTCATAGACACAGATCATTCAAACCTTCATTGAAACAATAAGAATTTATTTGATTACTGAAAGTTAAATTTGGCCGATAGCTATCTTTGCTATAACTGTGCTAAGTGGAAAACACGTATTTCTGCATATCAAGCTAGCTTAAAAAAGCATACTGTTTAATGGCTTCAAGTTTGTTTTACAAGGTCAGTTTATAGCATACGTTGTACATTTTCTTAGACTAGGTAGAGCCTAATGATAATGATACACTATAAACACAAGCTGAGTAACAGGAAGCTAGCATTTCACAAGCAATAAAAATAAATATGAGAAAAAGGAAACAAGAATATTTAGGCCACAGTCTTAACAGTCGTTGGGAGAAGGACCTTTAAGAAGACAGGCACTTCATCTGTGATAAATGTTTTATTTTGTTTAAAGAGAGACAAAAACATTACAGAAACCTAAATTAGATAAATTAGATTAGATAAATTAGATAATAATACACAGAATAACAAATGTAACAATTTCAGAAGAGGGTATTAATCCCCACATATGGATCAAGAAAGACAATTTTTAACTAAGGCTTGCAAACAAAAAGTTGTTGAATTACAATGATACTCACAGACAAAACAAACACTGTCTTCCTAGAGCTTGTATCAGATCACCTGGGGAATTGTAGGTATGGAGGCCTGAAAAGCAGTAAAATTGTTTACATGGAACACAATTACCTACAAATGAAGAAAGGTTATAAAAGGTATAATAATGGAGAGATATAATTAATACAAATTATAAGGTTGAGTGAGACTTCTTCAAGGCTTAGTAACACCCAATTTGGTTGCAAATATAGTACACAATGTATCAACTGTATTGAGCATGTGGAGAATTTAATATTTAATACTATCAGTGACATAGTAAAAATTTGCTGATTAATTGTATATTCACATTAAAGGGGAAATCACCTGCACCTCAGATAAACATTAAGCAAATTCTAGCCTTTGAACAGCCTGACCAGTTGGCCAGTAATATTCTAAACTCTGTGTTGTCCATGTACAGTAAGTTAAACAACAAGGACTTACACACACAGAGTACTGGTATATTGTCAGCTAAGGACAGGGTTCTCCTTCAGTCAAGGTATAAGGATAACTATGTCACTGTTAACAGGGAAGAGAAGATGCAATACAATAACTACCTTATTGTTAAAAATTAAGGACTCAATGCATGTAACAGGATTAAAACCAGAACTGGTTTCAACTAACCAGAAATATACACAGAATAACAGACTATTTTTTAGGCATGTGTGCCAGATCATTGTCCGATACAGATGGTAGCACTTTTAAATCTTTTTATAGTCACTGTAATAAAAATTTAGCAGTAACATAAGGGGATGTATGCATTTGTGTGATTAGCTCAGAGTTAAGCTAGTAATTTTCCTTACAGTTACCTATTTTCAGTAAAGATGTGCAGCTGGATGACATCCTTCACGTAATAAGAAAAGAAACAATGAATGGGAAAATTTAAATCGTATGGACTTGACAGCACTGACTGAAGTCAACAGGAAATGTCTCTTTTGCCTCATTATCTTTTAAATTAATTGTTGTATTATTAATTTATTTATATTTATTAATTAATTTTATTTTATTAATTTTATTTTATTAATTAAGTATTTTTGTACTGGGAACAACCAACAGACAATCCGTCTTTCATGAAATTGTGGCTATTTATTTTGGAGTGGAAATAACAATCATAAGTTATGGGGTTTTTTCAGCCCGAGGCCAGTTTGCTACAAAGCTCTATTATACACAATTACAATTTGAATTTATGAAGATCACTTTCCCTCACTGTACATTTATGTCACACATCCTGAAGAGGGATCTCTCCACTGCTACTTCAAAAGTAAGTTCTTTTCATGGGATCATTTGAATAATTTCCACACTTACTCTAAATTACACTTAGTCTCAATTGGTCTTTTAGGCAACACCTATTTTTCTGCTAGGGCAGATGAAGAAGGCAGGACCAAAAGCACCAACTAAAGTTTAACGGGGAAGAAATCTTAGTTGCAGGATCAGACTGAGAAAGGAATTTTACTAAAAGTCCTCTACTTTTGCTGAGGGTGTCCTATTAAAATATCTTTAAAACACAGAAAAGATAACCAAAACAGTGTATGACTGTAATTTTGGCTAGTATAAATGGACATAGGGAGGGGTATCAGAGTATAAGAACACAATCTGATTTGAATAAACACCAGTGTGTCCTGGTTTTGGCTGGAATAGTTCTTTTCTTCTCAGTAGCTGGCACAGTGCTATGTTGAAGATTCAACATAAGAATGCTGGTAACACACTCATGTCTTGGTTATTGCCAAGTCATGCTTATCCTGCATCTGAGACTTTCTTGTGTCTCATTCTCTGCCAGTGAGGAGGTGCAGGGGAAAAAAAAGTTGGGAGGGAGCATAGCCAGGACAGGTGACTTGAACTGGACAAAGGGATATTCCACACCATAAAACATCATTCCCAGAATATAAACTGGGATATAAATATAATATAAATATTACCAGTTACCCAGAAGGGCCTGATCGGGCCTGGGTGCAGGGTCTGGCATTGGTTAGCTGGTGGTGAGATTTTCTTTTCCTAATCATTACTATCATTATTTACTAATATCATTATAATTTATTTTGTTTCAGTGACTAAACTCTTTTTATTTCAGCCAAGTTCTTCAGTCAAGTATTTCAGTCAAGTTCTACCTTTGATTCTCCTCTCCATTACACCGGGATGGGCGGAGGGGAGGAAACGGCTGCCTGATCTTTAGTTGCCAGTTAACCCAGGACACACCAGTGACTCTGAATAACCTAAATAAGCTTACAGTGGATAACATAGGAGTACAGTAGGCGTGATCTCTATTGCATACCTCTGCAACTATTGCATTAACTATGTTAGATGCATGAGGAGGTGTGATCTTTCATCATATCACAGAAACACAAGTGCTTGTTTTAGATTCACATTTTAGCAGACCACCAGTCTTGCTGGCACAGTCTACCTTGATTCCCCAGGATTGCCCCTGTATACACTAGGCAAGATTTATAGGAAAAGGCAGGATTTATTAGAGCAGCTAAATATAGATCAGGCCAGCATTAGCTAAATATATACTACATTAGGCTAACAAAGTTTGGGACCCAAAAAACCAGTAAATTTCCTGAAACTGTATAATTCTATAGCATTCACCCCTACGTGATAACTGTATTAACGCTAAAGGCAGAAGTATTTCTACTGTACATTCAATTTAACAGAACGAATCCAATTCACAAACTCTTAATCCCCAGCTGCTCCTGAAAGGAGACAGATTGCGAAGGGGCACTCACCCGGCAGTCCTTCTGTCAGACACCATGGGATGAGCCTTTGACGTAATGGCAATAGCAACAGGGTGGATTTCAGATTTAACAGCTCACCATTTATCCTGTCCTCTTTCTGTCCAGCCTGGTCTTCACTTTTACATGCACTAGGAACTGGAAAAAACCCAGACTGCCTCAAACTAGAATCTCATGAGGACATTTTCACAGGAGTTAACATACTGTGTTAAAATTAGGCACCCACACAGTTCTAAATCCAAACAGTTGATTGAGGTGAAAACTATCAAATGCCTTGCTCCAATCAGGATGAGTTAACTTGAGAGACAGTTCCATGTCTAAACTGAGGCCAGAAGTGTGGGTGTACTTGATGTAGGCACAAATGTTTTAAACTGAGTAGCTCAGGTAGGGGTAAAAGCATCTCTATAGCAGCACAGACCTCCCTGGAAACCAGAAGATGAATGTCTATCCAAATTCCCTGACAGATTTTCTTGATTCTGTTGACCATATGAAGCTGTGTGCTGCCACTTCTTAACACCAATTTTAACCAAAGCTGACTAAAGGTTAAAGTTACTTCTGATACCTCTTCAATTCCATCTTTGAGTACAGAAATAACCTTAGGTAACTCATCTGGCCACGACTTTCTACTCTTTTATGACGGGAGGGTTCTGTGAATTTCCAGCTGTGAGACACCACCTTCTATAAAAGGCAAGCAGTCGGGAAGCTAAAATCAGGCATTAAATGTATCACATTGTTTTTATCTTACTTTATTTTCCTCCTTCATAACTCTGAAAGATAAGACAGAGAAAAATAGATACACATGAAGAAAGCCTATTACCAGAACTACAAACAGTGTTGTTTCTTTTGGTTTTTTTTTTGAGGGGGACACCTTGTTGGTTGTTTGCTTTTTGTGGTGATTTCTTTAGTTTTTTTTTTTTGTGGGGGGGGGGATCGTTTTGGTTTTTGTGTTTTGTTGTTGTTGTTTTGTTTTTTGTTTTTAATTTGGGGGTTTTGTTTTTTCCTATAAAGGAATTAAAGCAACCAGTCACATCCACGACTTTCCCACAAGGAAATCTACCAAGAAAAAAAAACCCATTGGCTTAGTACCCCAAACCTATGGTTTTATAACAGAAGTTCAACCTTATCCAGCATCTACACATCGTAAACCCATCCTGCGAGGCGAATCCTGTGTCCGGCGTGGCAAGGCCGCAGAGCTCCGCAGCAGGTGAGCGGTGGCCAGCGGGCTCCCAAAGCAGGGAGAGCTGCCGGAGGGTGACCTCTCCCTGGGGGACGGAGGGTTTTGACACCCGAAATCTCTGCCTCTCAGGACGGCACTGCACCCACTGTGCTCAAATTACGAGGAGTCTAATTACCTTTTGTCTTGGCAGACGCCGCCAGGGACGCAGAGCGCGGCCACCAGGAAGCGGGCGGGCCGCGACACGGTCCCTCCGCGGGTGCAGCCCNACCTTGTGAGTCCAGGGGAGCGCCCGCTCTGCCCCGAGTGCGGCGGGGAGCCGGGGGAGCTCGGGCCGCGGAGCGGGGCTGGCGCCGGAGCCTTCCGGGGAGGCGGTGGGCGAGATGGGGACGGCGGGGTCGTGTGTGCCAAGGAGGCCTGAGCCGTGCCTTGTGTCCTGTCTTGTGTCTGCTCTGCCGGCCGGGAGAGCCCGGGCTGACGTGCTCCGGTATTAGCAGCTGCACCTCCCTTGACAAAGCAGGCTTTCGTTGCCCGGGGGCTTGCTTTGTTGTTCTACTTCCCTCTCAAAAAACCTTCTTGAATTGTGGCGTTACTTAACTTGCCATATCTTCCTAAGGCATAATTATGGAAAAAAGAAAAAAGTTTAAAGTCTTTAAGAAACTGCTATCAGTTACCCAAACTTGATGGGAGTGGCCTTTTCAGTTTCTGACGAGTTGTCTGGCACTGGCATTGTGCGGGGCTTGTTACTGCGTGTTTGTGTTCCCAGTGTCACCAGCTCCAGTGCAGAGAGCGCAGCTAATCGCGATCAATGGAGGAGCGAGCGGGAGACTTGGCATAGCTCACTTTTAGGGGCAATTTAAACTGCGTAGAAACTCGGCAGAGTTTGTCCGGGAAGGGAGCTGGGGGTAAGGGGAAAAGGCTAATTTGTTTTCTTTCTTTCATTAACAGTGTATCTATTATCTTAGTAGCCAAACCTATTTTTAATACTGCATAAGTTAGAGACGTCAAAAGTAGCATCTTAACGGGGAAAAAAGTGAGTTATGATGACTCATACTGTCGGCGCTCGTGTGTCAAAATTCGGATGTACTGTTACTGTTCATTATTGCTATTTATGCTTCAGAATTGTAAAGGTAATCCACAGTGTATATTCGGAGTCAATGCTTTTCTCAGGCTGTAGTTTCTCCTGCTAGATTACTCCTCTTTATGCGTGTGAATATATGTAGTATTTGGACTTAACTTTATATGTGTGAGTAGGCCGGTTATGTTTTCATGCTGCCTACAACCATGATTTAATCATCCATTTAATTTTAATTGTGAATTAGGATTTACATAAATGATAATGAAATGAGAGCAGGCATGAGATGATTTTTTGAGATGTGAAAATTAAGAATCCTTTTTTCAGTTACATCTTCCCTGTTTCCATCTCTGTATTTTGTTCATGCTTGAACTTTTTCTTTTCATAACATTTTAAACTTTCATCTCTATGTCAAGTAGCAAGATAATTTCTCAGTTACAACTTACCACCTTTTTATCTGATGTACAACATGAAAATTATTTATTCTTTTTGGGATTGATATGTTTGCCTGCCTTTTTTGCTTGCTTTTTTTCTTTCTGTCTTCAGTCAGTGTAAGGCTGTGGTTTAATCCCTTGGATAAAACGTTACCTTGGGAATGGATTAAAGTGTCATGTATATAACTTACTTTGCACGTGAATACAGAAGCACTCCCCTCCCCTGTTAGATCCAGAAGAGGGAAGGGGCAAGAAGTGCATTACCTCTGGTGTTTCACTGCGCAGGAAGGTATTAGGCTCCTAGCTATAGATGTTATTGTAGAAGTAATTTACTACAAAATGCAGTCAGACCATTTGAGAAATGGCATGTGGGGTTGATATTTTTGATATAATTATTTTACTGTATTAGATGCTTTTGTAGGAACTTTGGATGTCTGATCTTTTAACAGCATAGAATTGAAAAAGTCCGTAGTAAAAATCTAGAGAAATTGCTTCAATCAGTTTTGTGTCTGGTTGTGTATTTGTGTATGCATAATCA